GTGGACGGACGGGGGTGTCATCCTCATCTTGCTGGTGAGGACGGGGAGGCCTGGGCATGTCCTGGCATTGACACCTGTCCCTGCCCTGGGCTGGCCCCCCTCGTTCCAGGCGGTGCAAGCAGGCACAGGCGCCACTTAGAACGAAGTATTTTGTAACATGTTTTATTTTTATTTATTTATTATTTATTTAGAGACAGGGCCTTGCTCTGTCACCCGGGCTAGAGTGCAGTGGCATCATCACAGCTCATTGCAGCTTCCAACTCCTGGGCTCAAGTGATCCTCCTGCCTCGACCTCCCAAGTAGCTGGGACCACAGGCGTGCACCCCGCACCCTGCTCATAAGACTTTTTATGTCTTCTTCGTCTGATGACGTGTTGGCCACGCCTGAGGTGTTTTCTGCCGTCTACGCCTTAGGACTGGCCCAGCGCGAGGGGCGACCGGTGGCCATATTTTTAGTAGTTCGGGGACCAGACCTGGGCCTGGTGCATTTCTGCCAGTCCCTTAACAAGAGAGGAAATGGGCCCCAAGGTCAGGTCCAGGGCTCAGCGAGCAGCCTCTGGAGCAGGTGCCTGGGCGCCCCACACTGCTGCGCTGATGCCTGCTGTGGGCTCTCGTTGCAGAACAAGGCCAGGGAGGACTTCGACCAGGCCATCGGCTGGTGCGTGTCCCTCATCACCGACTACAGGGTCCGGTTAGGTGCGTGGGGGCTCCGCACGGCCCAGAGCAGTGGGGCATCCATTCCCCATGGCGGGTGGAGGGCAGGCCCCTGGGCGGAGTGGACACAACTGGCAGACATGGAAGATGGAATTTCCTTTCAGTGAGAGTTGGTTTCCGTCTGTCCCAAGTCTGCGTGGGGAATTTATAGAACGTGGGCCTTGTTAGTGAAATGCGTTGGTGTCCTCTGGTCCCCCCAGGAGACTCACGCCCAGCAATCTTTCCTGGGGTGGCGGAAGCAGCGACTGTGACCCTGACACCCTCGTGGGAAGAGGTGTCTGGGTCAGGCTTAGCCTGAAAGTCCCTCAAGGAGGTGTTTTGGTCCCAGAGCCTGGAGGATGTCTCCAGAGTCTCCCGTGTGTCTAAACTCGGCTCCCTTCCTCCCCGTAGGCTGTGGGTCCTTCACTGGCTCATTCCTGGAGTATTACGCCGCCCACATAAGTAAGTTGCGTCCCGTCTGTGGAAGTACGAGCTGCTTCTCAGCCCCTGGGAAGACAGTCTTTGGTGTCCCGGGCTGTGGCAGGGGGTGTACTGAGCCTTGGGCCGTCCACGTCCACACAGAACTGGGCACCCCCAGGATGTGGCAGGGCTGCTCCCCGAGTCTGGCCTGGGCTCCTGGGCGCATGAGCCACCCACCCTGTCCCTGCTAAGGCTGGAGGCCATCACTGAACACTAAAGCATTTGACCAGCACTTCTCCTTGCCTGGTGTCGTGTGTCTGTGACTGAGGGCACAGGGTCCGTCCCCACCCCCTCCAACCCTCCCCCACCACCCGCCCCCCCGTTAGAGGAGCGGAAATAGCCGTATTGATTCTTCGTCATTGGGTGGGAGGGGGGGTGCTCTGCTCTTCACCGTTAAATTTGGCTAAAGGGCCCGGTCAGCGGGAAATACCAGGGATCCTCCCAAAGGAAGAGCTTTCAGGACATGGAAATTTCTCTCCAGTGGCTCTCAGGAAACATGAGGCCCTTGGGGCCACCCGTGGGTCCTAGACTCCCAGCCTTGGGCAACCCGAGTGTGGCTGTGGAGGGTAAGGTTTGCTCAGTGGCGGCGGGAAGGCAGCAGAGACCCGTCTGCCCAGCGCTGGCCCCTAAGCAGTACGTCCTTTGCAGGCTACCCGGTGCGGAAGTCCATCCAGCAGGACGCCCTGGGGACCAGGTTCCCAAAGCTGAGCCTAGGGGACCCCAAGGAGCCGGAGGTGGACAGCGCCCTTGGGTGGAGGCAGCCCTGCAGGAAGGTGCTTCCCGACCGCTCTCGGGCCGCCCGAGACCGGGCCAACCAGAAGCTGGTGGAGTACATCGTGAAGGCCCGGGGTGCGGAGAGCCACCTGCGTGCTGTGCTGAAGAGCAAGCGGCCGTCGCGCTGGCTGGAGACCTTCCTGAGCTCCAGCCAGCCCGTGACCTGCGTGGAGACATACTTGGAAGATGAGGAGCAGCTGGACCTGGTGGTGAAGTACCTGCAGGGCGTCTGCCAGGAGATGGGCAGCACCGTGCTGACGCGCACCCATGGCGACAGGATCCGGTTCGTCCTGGACGTGCTTCTGCCCGAGGTGACTGCCGGCCACATCTGTGGGGGCTTGGGGAGCGTGTGCCGCGTGCAAGGATGGGAGCTGTCAGGGGTAGAGGTGACTTGGGCTGGAGGAGGCTCGGTTTTCTCAGCACACACAGGGCACCAGGGCCGCGTCCTGGGACGCCCAGCGAGAGCCGCGAAGCCGTGGTTAGGATGGTCCATGATCTTGGACTTCAGCCAGGCTGGGGTTTGGTGAGGTTCACAGCTGGGACGTCAGGGAGGCCCTGCTGGGCATTTGCACGAGAAAGACGTTATCAAACTCAAAACCATTCACCTTCCGTAACTGGAAACTTCCACACAGGTACAGAAAGAAAACGCACAGTCAGCTCTCGCGAGCACATGGCCCCCCTGGGATGACTTCTCTGGGCAAAAAAAACCTCAGACATTTTTCACCCGTAAATACCATAGTGTATTTCTTTAAAACAGGGCATTTCTGCCCTGAGGGGACTCTGGGTGTGGTGTGGGGACATTTGTGGTTATGACTGGGGTGGTGGAAGCACCTGCAGGGCCCAGGACGGCCCACCCCAGAGAACGCCCCAGGGGAGCCTGCTCTGCACCTAGCACAGCACTGTTACTTCACCTTAGGGGTTAACAGTGATCCCCTGATACCCATCGTGTATTCAGATCCTTTCATCGTAGCTTTGAATTTTTTTTTATTTTTTGAGACAGGGTCTCATTCTGTTGCCCAGGCTGGAGTGCAGTGGCATCATCACAGCTCACTGCAGCCTCCAACTCCTGGGCTCAATGGATCCTCCTACCTCAGCCTCCAGAGTGGCTGGGACTACAGATGCCACCACCACGCTGGGCTAATTTTTACATTTTTTTGTATGGACAGGGTCTCACTCAGGCTGGTCTCGAACTCCTGGCCTCAAGTGTCAAGTGATCCTCCCGCTTTGGCCTCCCAGAGTGCTAGGCATGAGCCCCTGCGCCCGGCCTTAAATTTTTTTTTTTTTTTTTTTTTGCAGTAAATCTCCGGATTTTTTAAAATGGATTTGTGTGTTTGGGTCTTCCCTTTTATTCTCTGGTTTTAGTGACGTGAATGAGTTTCTAGCCCACACAATAGCATTGTGGGTTTTGATTCAGAGGCTTCATCACGAGCAGAGGCTTGGTGTCTGGAGGCCACAGCCAGCTGCACTGGCCCCTCGAGGTGTCCCAGGCACGTGTGCCCACGGACTGGCCAGGCATCGCCGGCCACAGCTGAGCTGCTGCCCCCTCTTGCAGGCCATCATCTGCGCCATCTCTGCAGTGGACGCGGTGGACTACAAGACGGCTGAGGAGAAGTACATAAAGGGACCTTCGCTGAGCTACCGGTAGGCCTCTTCAAGCCCTGTTTCCAGACCGTTCTCAGTTCATGTCTTCAGGGGTTTTGTTTCTGGTTAGCTGGCAGTTCTGGCTGGAGCTGCCTGCAGCCTACTTGTCCTCAAAATGCACGTTAGTGTAGGGCTGGGGAATGGCCACAGGCCCCGCGGAGGCAGCGCTGGACATTCCTGTTCTGTAGACGGGTTTGGTGGTGGCCCAGGTCTCTGAGCTGGTCAGTGGTGGGCAGAGCTGGACATGCGTCCAAGGCCTGCAGCTCAGCCACGGCCTTTCCTGGGGTTGATCCCCAGCCTCGGGGCTGATCCTGCAGCAGCCGCACATGCAGAGCACTGGTCGCGTGCCGGGCGTGTCCGTCCTAATCTCTCTGCAGGGCTGATGTTTGTATTTTGAACTTTTTTCCCTCTTGATCCAGTCCATGGCTGTGAGGGCTGTGCAGCAAGATTAGGAGGCAGCAGTCACCCCAGACGGTGTCTGGTGAGGCAGAAGAATGCTGTGATCAAGATGTTTCTCTCACATCGATGTGTTTAGCCACCTTGGCTGTTTGGCCCCAGAGCCCCTAATCCCCTCTCTGGGCTCGGTGCCAGGCACTGCCGGAGCCAGGCGGGGCCTGCAGGCAGCAGCAGGCCGAGGCCAGGGCAGGGTCTCCGTCCAGGCTGACGGGGCCAGGGCTCCTGCCGTCGCGGGCACACTGTCACAAGGGCTTCCGGGAGAGCCGGGAGTCCTCCCGCATGGCAGGAGGAGGTGCGGCCCCCTCCTGGTGGTGTCCACTATTTACCTGGGGCCTCAGTCACGCTTCTGGGAGCACATCGGCGTCCTGGCACCAGGATCAGGGCCTCCGATGGCCGGATGGAACGTGAACGCGTCTCAGGCCTACACGATGGCGTCGCGGAGGGAGGTCCCCTCCCTCCTGGTGTCCTTTTCACCTGGGAGTCACGGTTGAGGAGCTGTGCCCAGGCCAGCTGTATAACCTTGTGGCCAAGGTCGTGGTGGGGGCCGTTCCCGCACCTCCCACTGTCTCCATGGCCGCCTCCTTCCAGCCAGACGAGGCTCCAAGGATCTGCTGATCGAGCATCAAAACCGACGTCCCGGTTTACCTCTGTCCTGCGTGGCCCTGTTCCCACAAGGCTGCTGGGCGCACGATCATTAGTGTGACTTTTCTTTACAGGGAGGTCACGTAGTAGGCTCAATTTGATACTGCATACTCTTTCTGAAAATATCTTTTTAAAAAATTGTACTAAAATACACATAACAAAATTTACCATCCTAACTCTTTTTAAGTGCACAGCTCAGTGGCATTAGGCACATCCACGTAGCTGTGCAGCGTCACCACCCTCCATCTCCAGAACTTTCTCATGTCCCTAGACTGAAGCTCTGTCCCCATGAACAGGAACCTCCCTGTTTTGTAATCTTTAAAACACAATGATGAATGACTAAAATGAAGTATCTTTTGTTTTCTGAAGGGAAAAAGAAATATTTGATAACCAGCTCTTAGAAGAAAGGAGCCGGCGCTGTCGGTGGTGAGGAGGCTGCTCTGCGGCCGGGTGGGGGGGCCCCGGCCGGGCCTGTGCCCCTGGAGCCCGGGAAGCACCGTCGCGCCCTGACGTTCTCCGGGAAGCGGAGCCCAGGGCTTGCGTTCGTGCTGGATCTGTCTGGGTTGTCATGGTCTCCACGCTTCGGAAAACTGTTTCGTGAACGTACCGAAAGCCAGTTCTGTTTTCCTGGCACTTTGTGCAAGATGCATTTCCTAAAAGGTTTTAAAAGGACAAAAATAGATGGATGGTGTGTCCTTTCTCGTGACTGTACTGTGTGATTAACACGATGTGGCGTTTGTTTTTCTATGCATCTTGTCTGATATTAAATGGCAGTTTTAAAAAGGTGTCTGGTGTGAATACATCGCTGCAGAAACGTCAGCACGTTCCTGTGGTTTTTTTTTTTTTTTTTCCCTTTGTGTGATTTCCACTTAACGTGGTTCCTCAATGTGCTCCTGTGTTTCTTAGGAAACAGTCTTCGTTGGAGGAGGTGCAGAGGCAGGCAGCTTCCTTGTGCATTGTGGTTGCTGTGTTCACTTGTTCGGGAGAAGGAGCCGGGCAGGTGCCTTTCCAGCGGCCTCTGCAACCGGCCCCAGGTGGAAGGGAACCGAGGCCAGAGGGTCGCGGTGCAAGAAAACTAGCTCTGTCCCATCCTCTGTCCTCTGTCGAAGGCGATGGCTTTACTGGTTCCAGCCCAAGACGGTGCCCCAGAGAATCTCATTTCCCCTGAGTGAAGTAGCCACTCCCAGGCACGGAGGCTTCCCTGCGACACTGTGGCAGCTCTTTAAAACGTCAGTTTTAAAAAAGACGACGTGCACAGGGCGAGAATTCGAAAGCATGGAAAATCACATTGGTGCGGCCAGAGTCTGCCTTCCCCGGCCTCTTTCCCGCCTCCCTGTTGGCCCCTGGCCCGCCGGCCAGCCCCACCCAGCCCACTCTCCCAGCAGACCTGGCCCTGTGGTCCCCGTTTCTGGAGTGTCCTGGGGCCCTGAGTCCCTGAGCCCAGCACTGCCTTCCATGCAGCCAATCCACCCTCCAGCCACACGCACAGGTGACACCTGCCCTTGGAACGTCACCCCAAACCTAGTGGTGGAAACGTTCTCTCTCTCAGCCTCTGTGGGTTGGGACTCCTCGAGGTGGTCCCAGGTGTCCCGCGAGGCTGCAGTCACCTGGTGGCTGGAGCTGCATCATCCAAAGGCTTGACCAGGGCTGGGCCTTGAGGAGCCCCGCTCAGGGCAAAGTGTTGGCGGGAGGCCCCTCACGCCACTGGCGTGTCCCCTGACCCTGGCAGCCGGCTCCCCTGAGAGCAGCACTGTCCGTCGCTGGTCACACAGGGCCGTCCTGCTCGAACGTGAAGACGCTGTGTGGGTGGCAGAGGTGAGCCCAGGGGGCCCTGTCTGCCCCAGCCCTCCCTCCAGACCAGCCATGGCCAGGGACTGAGCACTCTGTCACCCCTGCCACCAGTGCTAAGGCTGAGAGCCCCCAAAACCCACAATGGCCAGGTTCCTGTTCCTTCAGGGAAGAATCCGTGATGCTGGCTGGCATGATCTGAATGTGACATGCCAGGGACACAGCACGTTGCTGTCCCCAACCCTGTAAAAAAAAAAAATCCAACCAAGCATTAACAAAAATCTGTAAGATAGAAACAAACCCTGATGGAGGGCGCTCCCCCACGAGAGATCCTGGCCAGCCCTGCTCAGGCCTTCCAGGGCATCGGGAACAACGTCCTGCAGGGCCTGGACGGTGCCCCGGGGCAGGAAAGGACATTAGGGGAAACTGAGGAAACCTGGATAAAGCGTAGATTTCAGCTAATAACAATGTGCCGATATTAGTGCGTTAACCGAGGCAAACATACGGCATTCACGTGAAATGATAATAGGGGAAACTGGATGCGGGGTAAACTGGAACTCTCTGAACTATCCAGAACTTTTCTGTACATGTAAAGTTATTCTTATATAAAAAGGCTACGTAAATACATTTAAAAGCCACACAGCAGGGGCAGCTGCAGAGGAAAGAGGGCTTTGTGCACCCAACAGCCCTTCAGATTCTGTCGACTCTCCAGTCCCTGCCCTGCAGTTCTTCCCAGCCCAGATCTGACATCCTCCTCTCTCCTGGCAGATGCCCCTCAGGTGTAGTGGCCTTGGGCCCCAGCCTCCTGCCTGCCTCATTCCTCCAGACTCAGACACGAGCTCTCAGAGGACAGGTCCCTGGTTTGGCCTGGCCCACCACCCGGTGTGGTCCTGTATTTGTCTACATGGCCTCAGTTTCCCAGTCTTTAAAATAGACGGATTGTCCCAGTCGAATGACCTGCAAGCAGAAAGCATTCTGCAAGCTCCATTGTGCTAGTTTGGGTGTTTAGTGTTAGTGTTTATCATGAACACTGGTTCTAAGCCACCAGTTTAGAAAAGATTGAAAATCAGGGTTTGTGGTGGGAGTACATGGGAGGAATTTGGGCTGGGATCCTAACATCTTGGGTGTGGGAAGAGGGGTTTGGGGTTGCCTGTCGTGTCTGAGCCCTCCCCCGGTCGTTCGGGGCGCCAAAACTCCTGCCGAAACCCGGGATCGAACCAGGGACCTTTAGATCTTCAGTCTAACGCTCTCCCAACTGAGCTATTTCGGCGGCGCGGCAGGGGTCGCTCTTGCCCGGACTCCGCCCCGCAAAGCGACGCCCGTGCGCAGGTGCAGCTCACTCCCGGCGCGTGGGGTGCACATGCCTCGTAGGGCCGCGCGGGGCGCCATGTTGCAACGCTGTCTCTGTGGCGCAATCGGTTAGCGCGTTCGGCTGTTAACCGAAAGGTTGGTGGTTCGAGCCCACCCAGGGACGCGTATGCGTTTTGCTTCCCGCGGTGATGAGGAAGCGGACGTGGCCTCTGATTTTGCCCGGGTGCCGCGACCTCCACGCGCGCCCCGACGTCATGCTGTGTACTTCTTGGCGGGGTGGGTGTGGGGGGGGCGCGGGCGCGACCACCGAGGTCGAAAGCGCGGCGGAACGTCGTGGGCCTGGGTTCCGGTTTCCGCACGCGCTCCGGGCCGGCGGACCCGGAGGATTTAGGGGAACGGACCGCAGAGGTTGTCTGAAGGCCGAGGCCAAGATGGCGGCGCTGGCAGGTGAACGGGGCTGGCGGGGTTGGGGGACGCCGGGGTCGGGGGGTCGCGGGATGCCGGGGTTAGGGTCGGGGGACCTCGGGGCCCGGGTTGGCGCAGCGGTGCGCTCTCCACGCCGGCCGCTCCTCGGGCTCCAGCCCTGCCTGCGGTAAACGGTTTCTGTTACTGCGTCCAGGTTACAGTCGGGGAAGCTGAGGCTCGGCGGGTCGTCACGCAGGGCCCCCCGTCTCTGGGGGGCGCTTGAGGCGGGGTTGGAGGGACCCCCGCTCACTGCCCTTGGCATGCTCCGGAGAGAGCCGGGTGAGCATTGCACCCACCTGACAGGCTGGGAAACTGAGGCCCGGAGAGGGTCTGTGACTCCTCGGGGTCCCGGGCCGGTTCTCGGCCGCAGGGCGCTCATGTCGCTCTGCCGGATCTTCCACGTCCGTCAGCACCGCTGGCACAGTGACGGCCTCTCGCAGCAGAGCAGGAGTCTCAGCCTGTCCTGCCGTGGGAACCTTTTTGGTATCAGGTGAAGCCTGAGGACCCCTGCTTAGATAAAGTCATTAAATGCATAGAATAAATTCCATAGGATTGCAAGGAAATCAGTTATACTAGAGACAGTGACCAAAATACTGTTTTGATGGGTGATTTAGTAATCTAAGTGGTTGCATTATTAACACATGGAATGCCGAGGTCTAGCGGGGATCTAATTAGGACTGTAAGTTCTGAAGCTTTGAGGAGCGGGAAATGTGGCTTCCATGTGTGGGAACGCCTGCAGCCTGGTAGCATGGGTAGGAAACGTCTGTGATTTCCGCCCTGTGAAGTTACAGGTCCAGCTGATAATGGCTTGTTTTGTTGCCAACACTCAGAATGGAACGAAACAAAGATTGATTTTCAGATTTTCAGTAAAATGTTGGTGACAGTGAAGAGATTGTTTTGTTTTGTTTTTTCATGCAAGTTCATGGTTCTCCTGAATTCTCACCAGTGGGCCCCTTGTTAAGAATGTGCCTGGTCCGTTGGTAAGACCAGCCTGTAGGTATAAAAGAAAAAAGAAAAAGAAAATAAAATAAGAGTGCCTGGTCCAGAGGTGTAAAATCCAGTCACCTCAGAGATACTCAAAGGGACATTTACTTTGCTGTGAGCTTATGCAAAGCCCTAAATTTTCAGGTGGGGAAACTGAGGCACAGAGATGGGCAGCTTACGTAGGACTCTGGGGCTAAGCAGTTAGCCTGTCTCCTGTGCCCAGCCTCAAGCATGCCAGGAAGTAGGTAGGTCACAGTCTTGTGTCCTTCGGACAGTTGCAGCCTGGATGGGGCCCAGGGACACAGCCTGGACGAGTTTAAGGCCAGGTTGAGGGAGGGGTGCAGGGGAGGGAGAAGGCTGTGGTTGCAGCCGTCGGAGCAGTCAGACCCCAGCCCTGAACCCTGGACCCTGGACCCTGGACCCTAGACCCTAGACCCTAGACCCTAGAAGCTGCCCTCAGCCTCACCTCCCCGTCACGCAGTAGGTTAGTCTGCTAGGACTGCTGCGCAAAGTGCCACAGACTGAGCAGCTTATGCAGCAAAGAGTGTTTTCTTACAGTTCTGGGGGCTGGAAGTCAAGATGAAGGTGTTGGCAGAGCTATTTCCTTGATCCTTGGCCTTTTTTTTTTTTTTTTTAAAGAGACAGGGTCTTGCTCTATTGCCCAGGCTGAAGTGCAAGGATGATATCACAGCTCACTGCAGCCTTAAACTCCTGGGGTCAAGCAATCTTCCTGCCTCAGCCTCCTGAGTAACTGGTACTACAGGAGTGCACCACCATGCCTGGCTAATTTTATTTTTTAAATTTTTTGTAGAGATAGGGGTCTTGCTATGTTGCCCAGGCTGGTCTCGAACTCCTGGCCTCAAGTGATCCTCTCGTCTCAGCCTGGCACATACCCTGCACCCAGCCCTAATTGCCTCTTATAGGACATGTCACGTTGGATGAAGGCCCACCCTAATGACCTCGTTGTACCTTAATGACCTTGTTAACAAACCCATAAGGGGGGTTCAATGTTGCACCCCCCACAGAAAGCCACTGAGATGAGGATTGTCAAGGAAGAAAGGATTTTTTTTTTTTTTGAGACAGAGTCTCACTCTGTTGCCCTGGTTAGGGTGAGTGC